GGGGCGGAGGGAATTCTAGGATAAAGGCAGCTTTGGGACTGAATTATAACTGGATTCAAGTGCATATGTGGGGCATGGCGAACACCGAGGCTGGGGAAGAGGGGAGGCAGGAAGCGGCGGCTCAGAATGGCTTCTCACCAACAGCTGAGGAGTCCAAACTCCCTTCTGAAGAATGTGAAGCAGCAACAGTGATGAGATTATGTTTCTTCCCAAATTTGTACGGTACAACTGATATTACAGTCTTAGTTTTTAAGTTAATTGTTTCAATTATGTCTTTACTGGGGCAATAAATCTTTTTTTTTTTTTTAACATTTGCTTCCTATTTTAAACGTTTGCAAAATTTGTTTTTTTCTTACTTCTACGTTTGTTTGGCCCTAACACTTTATTCGACGACTCTATTCTTGAGTGCTTTATCTGTAAGTATCCTATTTCTCAGGAATAGTTTCATGCTTATTAAAGCTTCAACAGTTATTGAAGCAGATGCTGCCTTGCTCACATTCCCTAGAACTAACCAAAGGGTTGGTCACCTGAAGCCAGTGCCCTCTGGGCCAGAGGCTTCCAACTTCTCACTGCTGGAATTGTTCATTCACCCCAGGGAGTGTGGCTCATAGCCAGAGAAGGCTGGAAGTGCCAGGGTGTTAAAGCCCTTGGAGTGATTTTCTGTGGATGAGTGGTGAGAGTTGGTGAAGAAATCTGGGGCGCCTGAGTGGCTCAGTCACTCTTGATTTTGGCTCAGGTCATGATCCTGGGGTTGTGGGATGGAGCCTTATGTCAGGCTCTGCACAGAGCATGGAACCTTCTTAAGATTCTCTCTCTCTCACTCTCTTTCTGTTTCTTTCCCTCTCTGTCCCTCTCCCCTGCTTGCATGTTTTTTTTTAAAGTTTATTTTTTTGAAGGGGGTGCAGAGAGAGGGAGAGAGACAGAAAGACACAGAATCCAAAGCAGGCTCCAGGCTCTGTGCTGTCAGCACAGAGCCTGATGCGGGGCTCGAACTCAGGAATTGTGAGATCATGACTTGAGTCAAAGTCAGAGGCTTAACGGACTCAGTCACCCAGGTGCCCCTTGTGTACTCTCTTTCTCTTTCCCTTTCTCTCTCTCTCAAAAAGAAAAAGTTGGTGGAGAAATCCTCTAGCAGCTTCCTTACCCCTGGGAGTGACTCTGAGAGCGTGTTCCACAGAGACTGTCTGAGAAGGTCTGCAGCAGGACACAGCCCAAATTCCCCATGGCTCATCAGCACACACTTTCCTAGCTTTCATCCCTTCCCCATCTAAACGCACCACTCCCACAACGTGCCTCCTGAGATCACTCCCCAAATAAACCACCTGTACCTACGTCATAGTGTCAGAGTCTGCTTTGGGGGAAATCTAAACTAGGAGAGTTAACAGACTTCATGAATTCTCACATATTCAGGGATGTCTTCATTTTGCCTTCACGAGGGAGTGCAACTTGGCTGGGTATATAATTCTTAATTGACAAGAACCTACTCTGACTTTTTAATACTGTTAAGTCTATGGAACATTGGTTTCTTTGTTTTCTGTTAGGTATCAGTAGCATCACTTTCACATTTTGAAAATTAAAAATCTCGTGAAGCTGTGTGTTGACATTAAAGTGTTCTCAGTATTTTTGCCTGGTATTTGCAGAGATCATTCAAGAGAATCAAAGATCCTTCTTTGGTATCTACTCATGTCTTCTATTCCAAGTATTCTGGACCCACTTATCTATGCTGATTCTCCAGTCTCCACCTTCTACATGTATAGTTTGCACTGTCATCCTTCTTCACTGACTTTTTTTTTCTCTGAATCCTCAGAGACCATCTCAAATATGTCCTGTACAGCAATGAATCAGATTTCCATATTACTAATTCTGCTCTTTCCTAATTACAGCACGTTTTAATTCTGCCATTGCTTTCTTGGTTTCATTATATTTCCTTATCCTATCTACAACCTTTATTTTTTTGGCCTCTCAGTTCATTCCTTTTTCATCCCAGTTTATCATTCTACTCTCTGATCTTTTGTGGTGCTCATATTTTTCTTGAATTTCATCAAGAACAAAAGTGGGTGCTCTGTAAAATTGACTTTTGTTTTCTATTAATAATCTTTCTAAAGGGTATGCTTTTCTTCTGTGTCCTGAGTTACACTCATCTTAGTTTATGTGGTAGAATCTTTTTGTAGGGTCCATGTTGGTTCTGTTAGGCCTACGTGCGGTGGGTGGGCTCTCTTGGTTCCTTTGTACCACCCATCTGGGTGCTATTAGAATCTTGCTCTGGGCTGAGTGATGCCATCTACATTTCCACGTGCAGTTGTGGTCATGGGAGAGGAATTTTTGTTTCTTTACTTTCTCCTATCACATTGAGGGTCATCTTCCCTGTTTTTCTAGACAGTCCTGCCCCCACGACAGCTACGTGCTGTCTCTGTACCCTGCCACCTTTTCACACTAATGCGTCCCACATCCAGAAGAGCCCCCGAAACCTTGTCAACTCTCTGCCAAATTGAAACCAGGGCTCCCTGTGCCAAAGCTCGTTGGGATTCGACGGAGAAGAGATAAAAATGATCGGCTATAGGAGCTAATGACATACCTGTGGCCTTCCCAGGTACACTGTCCTCACCTGACTAGAGCCCCTCATCAAGAATGCCCGGGGGGTTACTTACTACTCCTCAAGGTAGTCAGTATGATACAAGGGTGGGAATGGTGTTCTCCTGCCACTTCAAGAGGGGACGATTCTGCTGAGTGATTTATGCTCTTGGGCATTCCTCCACGTCTTTCTACCCTATCATTCAGACTAAGGCTACATTTTACAACAGCATCCCCTTACTCAGCCCTTTCCCTGCCTCATCCTGCTTCCCTCACTTCTCTCCTGCAGCATTCCTCCAATATGGCAGATGTGCCCAGATCCTATACAGTAAGGAGGGAATGGGACGATGCGTGTGAAACCCCTGGTATATAGTGGGTGGTTAATCACTGCTGTGGCCCGTCCCCCAGATAGTTACAAGACTAAAGATAAAATCACTTGTTCAGGGCAATCTCTGTGAGAGACAGTCATCACAGTATTGTTTTTCAATTTTTTTAAAAAATATTTATTTTAAGAGAGAAAGCACACAGGCACGCACACGAGCAGGGTTGGGGCAGAGAGAGAGGGAGACAGGGAGAGGGAGAGAGGGAATCCCAAGCAGGGTCCATGCTCAGCACAGAGCCTGACATGAGGCTCAATCTCACAAACTGTGAGATCGTGACCTGAGCCGAAATCAAGAGCCAGATGCTTAACAGACTGAGCCACCTAGGCGCCCCTCATCACAGCATTAAAGAGAATAAAACTAGAATGAAGTATCTACATAACAGGAATTTAAGGGTAATCCCATAGAATACTTTATGACAGAATATTATGTAGCCTCCATGCTAAAAAGAAACCTATGATGAAGGAAGTAAAGTGAGATATAGGCAGTTATACAGTTTATGAAATAATACTACCAAATCCTATATACCGAAAGAGCGGGGCCAGCTCTCAACTTTGTAGCAGACAACAGACAGAACAAAGCTTTGTCACAAGGATGACTGTGTCTATAGGCAAAAATAAGCCAAGGTACTTGGGGAGACACAGCTCTTCCTAATTCTGAGGCCGGAGAGAAATTTCTCCGGTGGGTCCTAAGTGAGAGGAACCTGCGACATAATGACCCAAGTCACCAACCACATCCTTTCAGTTACCCCAGAGAGGAGTTTTACAGATCTGTCCTTGAGTCTGCCCCTTCCCCAAATCCACCCCCTACAAGACGATGGCACAGCACAGGAAATCCTATAAGAGACATTCTGTACGGAGCCAGAGATACTAGAACCCTAGAGATACTTGGTTCTCTCTTGACTGGGCTTACCCCAGGACAACTTTAGCTTACAGAGAATGGGACGTGTGCCCTTCTCATAGTCCTTCTTGATCGCTTTTGTGACCTTCCCAACCCTGGCGTTCCTAAAAGCTATGAGGCAGCAGAGATTTGTGATAACCTCTTGTAAAGTTCTTGGAGCCCCATCACTGCAGATCTCTCTATAGCCTTCAGGTGCCCCCTAAGCTGGGCAAGGTTGGTGTAATCCTGTCAAAACTGGTGAGCTTGCCAGGATCTGTGTCTGAACAGACGTTGATTTCCCCATGGGCTTGAAGGCACGCTCAGTGCTCCTCTGTGGGCAGGGCACGGCTGTTCCTCAGAAAGTGATTTTGGTTCTGTTTAACACAGATGTCAAGGTACTGCAGGTCCATGTTGTAAACACGTTGAAAAGTGACAAGATTTGCCTTCAAAACTGCTGTCAAGAGTTAGAGCAACCACCGGGAAGGGCGAGGTCTGTCTGAGCCCACTCATTCCTATTGCCTCCTGGTGACTCGTTCTTCTTTCTTCCCATAGGTGGTTCACTGAGTTGGATTACAGGACAGGAGAGAATACCAACTGCTTTTTCCTTTCTGAGTCACTCTACTTAAACTTCAATTCATTCAAGTACATTAGTTCCTGCTGAAAAATTTACTCATTTCATGAAAGTAATTTAATTTCCTCAATTCACTCAAATATATTGTAAATAAACATGCCAAAGCTTAGGCTGACATACGTGACCCTTTCATGGAAACAGTCAAGTGCACCAGTGGTGATAACAGGCAGCGATTTGTCCTCATTTCTTATCTCGTTCCTTGCAACTACTGATGTACAACTGGAATTCTCTAGAACATGCGAGTGTTTGGAGAAGTGGTGAGACAAAACAGGAGGGGGAGGGTTCCACGAGACAAAATGGATGGGGGGCAGTGTTAGATATGGATATCGCTCCAGCACCCTGTAGGTATCTATGGTTTCTTCTTTGGCCGCACCAACGCACCTTCTAAGTCCAGGAGGAGGAAAAATCCCCAGAGTTCCAAATGATGCCCCACATAATGAAACAGGCTTTGCAGAACCACTGCATGTTCCAAGCTGTGATGAAAGTCAGAGAACGCACCAGACGGAACAAAGGCTCCCTTTTGGGGGTGCCTTCCTTACCTTCTGCCACATGTTGATAAAGAAGAGCTCGCGGGAAACATTGAAGGACACGTTGGCATCGTAGGCGTCGTCCCCAAGGTTTGAGATGGAGATGTTTAGGGAGATATTCTTCACAGCTCCCAAAGCTAGGTATGGGGTTTTCTCATCCACACTGCAATGAGCAATAAACAGCAATGAATGCCCTGAAGCTTTCATAACATATGAGGCATCAGAGGGTAGCTGAGGGTTGGGGGCAGAAACTCCACTGGGGTCAGAAGTATAAGTTCCAGGAAACTCATTCACTGGCCATGCATTCGTGGGTAAGCAGTTAGCTCCCATGGACCTCGGTTTCCTCATCTAACAGCCTAACTTGCTAGGCTTTTCTGGGGCTCACATCAAACTCAGAAAATCATAAGACATTTAATACCCTGGACATGGAATTCGGTCATGTATTCATTCAAGTATTTTTGAGCACCTACTAAATGCCAATCACTACTACTGTATGTGCTAGAAGAAAGAACAGTGGACAAGAGGTCTTGCCTTCGTGTGGCTTTAGGGAAACAGAAAACATGCACAATGTAGCAAATGTAGAGCATGGTCAGAACATGGAGAAAATTCACAGAGAGTATGAAGGGTGGAGAACGTCAGATTGGAAGGGAGAGTGGGTTGTGATTTCAAATAGGGTAGTTGGGGAAGGCTCACTGGTGAGGTGACCTCTGAGTAGAAACCTGAAGGCATAAAAGGAGCAAGATACATAGACATCTGGGAACTAGCAAGGGAAAGTCGGGCCTGGCATGTTCAAGACATGCCAAGGAGGCCAGAGTGGCTAAGAGGAGTGAGCAAAGGGGTGTGGGGAAGGAAATGGGCTCAGAGAGATGAAGGGAGTGGGGGCAGGCAGAGCATATGGGGCACTGTGGGACCGTCACAAGGACCTTGGTTTGACTCTGAGAGGAAGCTCCTGCAGGGCTCTGAGCAGAGGAGTGGTGTGACCCGACTTCCACATTTGAAGGCTCACACTGGCTGTGATGTGAACGGTCCGTGGAGTATGTGGTCAGGGGTGAGCAGGGAGCCTGGTTAGGGAGCTCTCGCAATAAACCAGGTGGCAGCTCAGACCACAGTGGTAGAAGCTGAGGTTGTGAGAAGAGGTCGTGTCCTGGATGTGTTTCCATGGTTATGGCCAACAGACTGTGCTCACAGATTGATTGGATGAGGGGTATTAGGGAAAGAGAGGCGTCGAGGATGGCTGCAAGGATTTTAGGTTCAACACGTGGAAGGGAAGAACTGTCATTCATTGACATGGGAAAGGCCATAGGTGTAGAAGGTTCGGCAGAAAAAATCCAAAATGACCATTGGATCTTTAAGAAGAGGTGTTGGACAGCTGGATGCATACATCTAGAAGGAGGGTCTAGGCCGGGGATACACATTTGGGATGGACTGGATACGATCACTGGGGAATGAGTGTAGACAGAGAAGAGGTCTCACACGTGGGAACTGCAGATGGGGAGGAGCCACCCAGGTGAAGAAAAAGCATGACAAGGGAGGTAGGAGGAAAAGCAAGAGAGATGGTCTCTCTGTGGCCACAGAAGACATGTTTCGGCTGTTTCGTCAAATGTTGGCAGATAGGCCAAAATAACATGAAGAAGTAGGATTGGCCACCGGAATTAGCCACCTGAAGCTCACTGGTGATCTCAGTAAGAGCTGCTTGAGTGGAGTGATAGGGATGGAAGCCTGGAATTGGCTTAAGTGTCGGAATAGCCGAACAGATGGAAACAGTGAGAATACTCAACCATTTGGAGTTGGTTTCCTGTAATGGGGAGCAGAGCAATGGGATGAGGGCTGGGGGTGGGGAGTGGGCGCAAGGGAATCGTCATCTTTTTCAAGATGGAAACTATGGTCGCACATTTGCACGATAAAGGGAAGGGACACACCACAGAGGGGACAGTTGCTGGATGGCCTGGTGAACAAATGGAGGGGCTGGGACCAGATGGGACCAGGTGAGAAACCAGCCCATGGCACAGATGCGTTAGTAGACGGGTGTTAGAAACAAAGTGGAGGCTCCTTTGTGATTACGTCCATTTTGCACGGAAACAGAAGTAGAGTCAAAGACTGGGAAGGGAGAGGAGGAGGAGGGAATGTTTGAGGGGCGAAGAGGAGGGGGGAAATGGCAGCCCTGGCAAGTGGGGGAGCGAGTGGGCCGTCGGTGGGACGACAAGGGGACGAGGACAATACGGAGTGGCGGACTATCATGTGATGCGCACTGTGGACAAAGTAAATTCACCCCGGTAGCCAATCTCTGGCCAACCACTTAAGGGATGACGTGATTAAGCTCACGCGGGTTCGTGTAATGGACAGTTGGTATTTTGGGCTGCTCAGCAAAATAATAATAACAATAATAAATAGTAATGTAAATGTATGACTTAATAATACAAAATACAATATAACATAATAATAATTAAATGACACCTTCCTGTTTGGGAGGAATCTCAAGATAGATGGGAAGGGCACATCAGAAGAAAAGGGGCGGTCCCTCCCATTCTCCCCCTCTTGATAGCTAAAGGGTGGGCACCTGACTGTATGCAGTCATGTGGCCTCAGTATGCACAGATGCTCCCAGCCAGGGCCAGGAATTTTGAGGGGTTCTCAAAGACAGCCACCAGGGCCCTCTGAGATCATCTGAGGTGGCTCCTGAGATGCTGAGGTGGCATCCTGAGCTAAGCCTTATCTCCCCTGTTTCCTGTCCCCATTGGTTCTGCAGGCTTCCTGCCTATGCTCCGAACTGGCCCATAGCCTTCCAATAAATTCCTTTTCTGCATAACCAGCACATGTTTATTGTTGTTTGTAAGCATTAATATGGTGAACATAGCATGAAGGAGAAGAGAAAGATCCAAAATCTCAGTAGGCTATAATACTTTGAGGTACAGACTTTTGTGGAGAGCAATCCTCATTACCCAGCCATGAGGACAAGGCCTCACTTTCCTGCATCAGCAAGAATTAACATGTGCACCGAGAGATCTGATGGCCTTGCTTTTGGAAGCACGAGCTTTAAGGATCCAAACAAGATGTGGAAAATTAACTCGGAAAAAAAGCTTCAAATTCTTGAGTGGCCTCCAATAAATTAAGACCCTGACCTGAAGCTATTGCAGCAATGATTTATTATTGTTGGCCATTTTAATTTTTAACGATTGATGGGTTATTTCTGTCCTCCTGTTTGCTTTTGTGAGATTACAGAAGTAATCCTCAGGCCTTGAGGAGTTATGAGGGACTGATAAGCTTGCTTTCTCTCGAGAAGGAATTGCATACGCACTCACAGGTAGCCCAGTCGCCTCAGAAAGTAGCCAGTTTCCAAATGGAACACAGAGAAACAATATAGAAAAGCACAGGACCGTGGGGGCAAGGAGCTGCCTCCTCGTTCCCATTTTGTTGTTTGTGATCAGCCTCCTTTCCTCACGTGTAAATGGCAAGAGATCAGGCCTGGGCTGTCTCACCTTCTCCAGCCCCTGGAGCCTGGGCCTCTGTCACTTAATCAGGCGAGCAAGGTCGTCCCTGGGCTTCCAGTCAAGTGATTCTAACATGGCTCCATGATGAAGGGAAGCCAGGCACCTTCCAGGGTGGAATGTGAACTCAGACTTCTTTAAAAAGGGGAGCCTGAAAGCTGGTTTTGCTCTTTCTCCACAGCTGAAAACCTATGTATAAAATAGTACGTCTCTGCTTCCAAAACTATTCTTAGAAATGAAATGAAATGAAATGTAATTTGCCTGGTGTTGGGTGCTTTGAAACATGTCAACTTTCTGAAACCTTACAACGCTGCGAGCGAGTGGTTCCTGACGTTAGTCCCATTTTTAGAAGTGAGGAAATTGAGAAGCAGAGATAGAGGCTGGCCGAGGAGCTGTGCTGGGCTTTGAACACAGCACCTCCTAGGCCTTCAAAGCCCGCCCCCCTCCACTGCAAGCCCCTTCTGATCTCTCTCCTGGGGGAGAATAAATCTCCCTATTATAAACCCCTCCAGCCCATGTGCTCTGTCAGTCCTTCACAGCACTTACCAAGGTTGGAATGACATATTTATTTGTGTGGCTATTTGATTAAGAAATCTCTCTTCCCAATTAAAATCTAAGCCCCAGAAGGCAAGGACCCTGGTCTGGTTTTGGTCATCAGTGAAGTCCTCGAGACTCAAGACTTGTGCCTGGCACATAGCAGGTGTCCAGTGAACCCTTATGGAATTGATGAATGAATGGAAATGCCCAACGTTCCCACAAGAGCTCAACAGCTCAATCTTTGTATTTTACAGTTGAAGATGAGCCCCCCTACCCCAAAGGGGAACCCACTTTGGTCAAGGTCACAGAGCCATGCAGTGGCTGAGCTAGCACTAATGCCCAGTTCCCTTTGACATGAAGGTTGTCTGAGCCACAGCTCTTACATAAACTCCATCTCAGTCGGGAAGGGCTTTGGCAAGAAATGGCTTTTGATGGTGTCTAACAAGGACAGAACTCCATGAAGACCAACCCCTTTGACAGGACTGAAGGAGTAAGACAATCGAGCACAGGGTTTTTGCCAAACATCCCATGGGTGCTTAGTTACTAAAGAACCACCCTTCTTATTTTCAGGAAATCTTATTCCCTGAGAAATTTTCCCATGAATTCTAATTTGCTTCTGCAGTCTTTTACATGACTCATATCACTTTGTACACCAATCACTGGTGTATTCTTATGTGGAAAGTGTTACTAATAATAGTCAACATATGACACAAATCGTACAGTTTCTATAAAGCTTATCTTACAGCACATATACAGCCCAATGGAAATATACTGCTCATCTCTTATAAAAAATAACATATGTAACTGCTCTAATACATCTTGCAGCACCTTGGGCTTATATTTAAGTTTAGCATTGATTTGATGTTACTGCTGCCATCTCGGTAGCTGTGTGGTGCCCAAGAGTCACTGTGGAACCTGTTCTCTGACCTCACTCATCACCATACGGTAAGAGTGAGTGCCACACGACGCTTAATCTCAGGATCTTGAGTTTGAGTCCCATGTTGGGCATGGAGCCTACTTAAAAAAAAAATAAGAGTGCATCCCATTCCAAATTCCTTATTGGGTAAATGCAATACATTTCCATATCAGTCATCATATACTGAATGACTAAGGCCACTGAGGTAAATGCTTTCCCCCTCTAC